TTTTCGTCCCCTTCCTTCGAATTGTAAATATTTTTATTTTATTTTTTTACCTGACGATTTAACATCGGCAAATTACGGTGTATGGTGTATTTCTAGGAGTTTCTGTTACACATATGAAGCGAATGATTCGTTTTAAAACTTTTTTTACAAAATGGTGATTATCTCAGTTTCATTTTTTACTCAAAATTTCAACTTTAAAACTATTTAACTTCTAGACGGTTCATTTGTTTTCAATGAAATTTTCAGGGGTAATTATTCAGGTCTATCCTAAGTAAATGGCTTCATATGGTTTTATTGTCTTTACTGGAATAGAAACAATAGAGCTGCCAATTAGCGGCTCTGTTAACTGTGAACGATTTATAAAATGTGAATGTTTCAAAGAGCACTGTGTAAAAACTTTTCAATGAAAGCACTAATAAATAAGCCATTATGTTCCTAGTAAACAGAAGTTTTAAATAAGTGTTCTTAAATTAAAATCAGGGTATGCATTCAAAAGTTAAATAGTTTTAAGTGCACTTTCACCTAAAATGCATGATTTTAACCCCAAATCAACACCACTTAATATGGTATCATTGTACATTATTGTAAACCATAAAACTCAAAAGTTTAAATATAACTCTTTCAAATGATATATAACTTGATTGGTAAAAGTTATATTCTACTTGTGTAATTACAGTGATTAGAGGCAATTAGAAATATAGTCTCCCAACCTGCATCTCTACCTTAATTATCTATATTCATGTTAGAAAAATCAATGTTGTATCAGATATGTCAGTATTCTCAAATCACTTGCATTGATAAGCCTATCAACATACTAAACTGGATTCTCAGAAGTAATACATTTGATGCTATTCCCGGAGTCTTATTTGATGTTTTTGTTAACCTTTGTAACTTGTCAGTTGAATATGACATGACAACAGTTGCCATGTTGCATGCATTTCAATGTACTTTGCATGCATTGCGTATGTCACATGGTATCCATACCAAACATGACACTGTGCAACAACTCTTTGGTATATGCAATGTTTTTATTCATCACCTTGTTCTTGCGTTTTTCCAGATATTAATAAACATGTGTTAAAAGATTCTTATAAAAGCATTTATGCTGTTGCAATGGAACGAGCAAAAACGAAGCTGAAACAGGTTTGTATCAATAATATAATAAAAAAATATCAGAGTTTTGACTTTAGTTTGAGTTGGCCTTTATTAGGTAATTTAGTGGAAATTAATCAATTTATTTATTTTAAGTGTGATGCTTTTTTTGCAAATTTGGAAAATACAAGATTGTCCGCTTTTTCGTGTATAGGTATATGGTATGGAAATGGCTGAAGTACAACATGGAAAACAAAAAGCTTATATTCTATTGAACAACCTTGATATGACTGGAACAGAGGATTATATTGATAGGTAATTTAAGTTAGTGTTAGTGAGGTCATTTAGGAGAGGTTGTCTGTGAGCCTTGTTGATATGTTGTCAATGATGTGACAATTGAATACGTCTGCTCTCTATGAATGCTGTATTGTGTTAATGTCACTTTAACCTCTAGATGACGTACATCACATCACAAAGACATGTCACAGTGTTTTATGGATTTAGGTTCAGGTATGATAGATCTTTTTTACAGGGCACCATGTGAGTTTACTCTAAATACATGTTTTCTATACAGTCGCTCTATGTAGGTGTGTGAATGTTGAATAACAAAACCATAGTCCAAACTCTCCTGAACTGATGGTCACGTATTTTAAGTCAGCCTTTCAACAACATTAAAAATTTGTAAACTTTTTTTTAATATTCCCCAAAACTCTTGATCAACACCCTTTAGATCAGTAGCCAATAAAAATGTACGTCTAGTTAAATGAAAACACATAAAATACAGAAAAATTGGAGAAATGTTGTACCATAATTTTGGCAAAATACAAATAAAGTGGCCCAGACCTATCCATATCTCATGATATTCTTTTTATCTTGATATTTTGAGAATGTTCTCTTTTCACATGATTACTCTGTAAACATTATCCATTTCCATTTGGGAAATGTGCCTCCATTTCGTTTATTTACAGGTTCCTCAAAAGCATATCTGCGGGTGAGTTTTGCAGGCATGCAGAAACCATAACACTAATGTCTGCGTGTTGATCTGCATATTGGTTCTGCGGGCCCGCAGATGCAGTTTTGATCAAGTCTGTGTGTGCTACAGGTTCTGTTTTAAAACAATAAATGCAGTCCATTAACCTAGCAATAAATAATGTTTTCAGTGCTGAATATATGGAGGTAATGACAGGAAGAATTTAAGCAAGAAGCAAGGCTCATGTTCAAAGTTAACCGAGCCATTATTTATTCTTTCCTTCTTATGAACGGTACGGGTATACCGACTATTCAATAGTTTGAATGTCGAACATACTCAATTTACAAATGACTCAATAGTTAGTTAGGGTATAGATGCAGGTTCATTGGCACTCAAAGTGATTTTTGACTCCCATGTGCGAAGCACAAAATGGGAGTCTTTGCAGTTAGTGTGTCTGTATGTGTGTGTGTGGGTGTGTGTATGTGTGTGTGTGTGTGTATGTGTGTATGTGTGTCCGACTGTTCCACTGCTATCTCAAGAACCATACATCGGTTTTTGATGAAACTTGGTGCATAGATGCTCTGGGCCAATGCGCAGATTTGATTAGGTTTTGGTAAAAATCCATGCTCGTTAATTACCTAATTTGCATGATAATTAGCTAATATTCACTACGTTCAATTACCCACCATAGACTCCGGTCAGTCAAAATGACTATTTTGAACTGTAGGCATTAATCAGCGATCCTGCCGGTGACGGAGAGATAGAATCCAGGTCAGGGGAAGCCCCATGACCTCAAGATTTTTTTACCCCTTACGTCACGAACCCACGTGACCGAGGCCACATGGCAACGCCATAGGCAGCCGTCCATCACTCTTAATTTCTCTCCGCCTCGGTGGAGATGAAATTTAGCGAGCTCTGCTGGATCGCCTGTTTTTTTTCCTGTTCGGATTTATAGCTTGGGTTGTTGCCGCTGCTCGGCATCCGACATGGTAGCTGGTAGGATAAGTTTTCCTTGTCTTTTTTTACCCTCGTGTCGTTTTCCCCTTTGTGTGTAGTATTTTTCACAGCAAAGAAGTCAAAATCCCGCGCCACTTACGTAGTCACA